GCAACAATTAGCACCTGCGTTATTAACAAACAACCTACTCCAAAACTGCATGGACCTAGAACAGATTGGAACGTTTACCGAAAAATACTGGATGAAAACATTAAACTAAATGTAAGACTAAGAAGCCCTTCAGAAATAGAAGCAGCTACAAACAACTTTATGACATTATTACAAAACGCTGCAAAAGAAGCGACACCGAACGATGCAGATAAAAATAAAATCGAGAATAGAATAAATATTCCACTAGAAATTAAAAAGCTCATTGCTGAAAAAAGAAGAGCAAGAGCCAAATGGCAACAAAGTCGGAACCCAGCGGATAAAACGTTTTACAATCGCTTAGCCAATAAATTAAAAACACAACTAAAAATTGCAAGAGAAGAGTCAGTCAAAAAATATGTAACACAACTTAATAGATACGACCATTCAATATGGAAACCAATCAAATCATCCTTAAAACCTCAAGCAATATCGCCACCAGTAAGAAAAACCACAAACACACAGAACCAATGGGCAAGAAGCGATAAAGAAAAATCCGAATTATTTGCTGAACATTTAGCAACAGTATTCCAACCACACAACAATGAAGAAGATCAAGAAATTATTAATTATTTAAACTCAGAACAACCGTCAGTAAATCCAATAAAATTAACAACACCCAAAGAACTTAAAGAAGAAATCTTAAAACTAAATATCAAAAAGTCACCAGGAATTGACCTAATAACTCCAAAAATGCTAAAGGAATTACCAAAAAAGGGTATAGTGATCCTTACATATATATTTAACGCAATATTAAGATGTAATTATTGGCCTAACAATCTAAAAATTGCAGAAATACTTTTATTTCCAAAACCAGGAAAGGATCCAAGTGAAGTCTCATCCTATCGACCTATCAGTCTGTTATCAACAATCTCCAAATTACTAGAAAAACTTTTAATAAAAAGAATAGATCCAGGCCTTACAGGCGCAGACTGGATACCAAATTTTCAGTTTGGATTTCGACGAGAACACTCAACTATCCAGCAATGCCACCGAATAACCCATAAAATCAATTCCGCATTAGAAGAAAAGGAATATTGCCCAATGGTATCACTAGATGTACGTCAAGCTTTTGATAAGGTTTGGCATAAAGGACTTCTTTATAAAATTAAACAAATATTACCACCCTTCTTTCGAATACTTACATCATACTTGGAAAACCGACAGTTTAGAACAAAAGTAAATGGAGAAATATCTAAAATGCATCCCATTAAGGCGGGAATTCCACAGGGCAGTGTCCTGGGACCTTTATTATATATATTATATACTTCTGATCTACCAACTTCGCATAACGTAACAATTGGCACATTTGCAGATGACACAGTAGCACTTACCAGTCACAAACACATTAACATAGCTACACAACAACTCCAAGATTATTTGTATGAGCTTGAAAACTGGCTAAAACAATGGAAAATAAAAATTAATGAAAACAAGTCAACCCACGTAACTTTCACTTTACGACGAGAAACACCACCACCAATATATATCAACAATGAGGAAATACCCAGGACTAAAACAACCAAATACCTAGGGCTACACCTGGACCAAACCCTGTGTTGGAAAGAACACATCACCAAAAAAAGAAAACAAATACAACTAAGACAAAAAGAAATCAATTGGTTAATTGGAAAAAACTCCAAACTGTCAATAAATAATAAAATTCTAATTTATAAAACAGTTATTAAACCAATATGGACATATGGCATAGAGCTGTGGGGCTGTAGTAGTAAATCTAATATTGCTATTATGGAAAGATGTCAATCAAAAATCTTAAGAGCAATTGTTGATGCACCCTGGTACGTAACCAACCAACGAATCTATGAGGATCTCAATATCTCAACAGTGAAAGAAGTATACCAGCAAAAGAAATTACAATACATTCAAAAAGTGAACACACACTCCAACCCATTAATTTCCGCAATACCTCAACATCAAGTTATCCGAAGACTAAAGCGACGTTGGCCAACAGACCAGTAACATGGACCCGTGATTCTCTCACTGGAGGGGACCACATCACGCCAGAACCAAGGGACAGGACTTAAACTCATCACATTAACTTATAGAATATATTGTTTTATTCTGATTGTTAATTTATTAGTTATAATAAAAAAAAAAAAAAAAAATATAGAGGATACATCATTTATGTTTTTTAAATAACGTAACATATAAAATCAGAATTTTGATGTTTATTGAAGGTAAACTAAATTCACGAACAAATACTTACAATGTCGGGATAGTATTATGAGGTTTTTTTCCTGGTTTTTCCCTCATAATTTACTATGGAATCACTAACAGGAGAATTTTACTGTCATCATGTCATGTGTTTGTCTTTTTAAAGACGAATTACATGCTATGATTTTTTCTGACGGATATTCTCAAGTTAAAGTTGATTTCATGTAATCGAATGAACTATCTTATAGTAAAGTCGTCCCAGGAGCGCAACTCAACAATATTGGCAATATCATTTTAAAGTCGTCTACTTTAAAATGCATAATGTATGTCTGAATTGTCAATATAAATGAGTCAGATAAAATTAAATTATTAGAAGAATTTTTTCACTATGTAACAAAAAACAAAATTTGTTTAATTTACTGTTTGTATTTTGAGAACGATTTCCGAATTGGAAATTGAAACGTCAATAAACGTATTTTTTATCTTTAATTGTGGCTTATTCCCAGTTATAAATAGTAATTAATTTACAATGCCACAAGAAAATAGCTTCAGAACAATATTTTATGTGTAGATATGTGAAGGTGGTAGCCTACACTGATAAGCATGAAACGATTGACGACTTAGAAGACAACATTCGCCGCGTTCTTGCCGACATACGGGGACAAATATTGGAAAAAGTGATCGAAAATTGGATCTCTAGATTAGACTACGTCAGAGCTTAAACATGATGGTCATATGCCAGATTATCTTTCGAATAAAGTAAATTTCATGGCAATTAATAAAAATCTTTTTTTTAATTCCATTTCAAAGTTCTATACATCCAAAAAAACCCTTTATATGCTTTTACTCATATTGTGTTTATTCAAATTTTATAAGTGAGCAATTAGATTACCAGATTACTAATTTAAGAACTTATTTATAGATGCAGGCTGAGACATCTACTTTATATCGCGTGATATGCCCAGTAGATGAGACAACACCGCTTAAACTGAGGGAACCAGAAATGCCAACATCTTTCTAGGGACGAAAGAATCCGACATGGGAAACCTCTGCAAGGGTGACATTCCAATGAGGTCAGTCAAGACTATGTCGAAAATATAGAGCAGAACTATTGGCTGACATCAGAAAAGATGTTCTCTGAAACAGAAGGTTCATTACTCGCCATTCGGGATCAGGTTATATCAACCAAAAATTACCTGAAATATATCGTCAAAGATCCTCAGGTACAAAATGACAAATATGCCGATATGGATGTCTGGGAAACTGGGACTTTTCCAGACAAACCATCTGCCATTATCAATACGTTCCTGAGAGTATGCTTGAGAATGACAACTACAAGCTATGTGCTCACAGACCAAACAGTCGCACATAATAGACCAGATCTCATACTAGTTAATAAAATAAAGAGACAAACAATACTAATTGATGTGGCGATACCCAACAACAATGTATTTATTATTATTATCTTACTCTAGAACTCAATTTGTCCAGACCTACTTCACTCATTAGAAGTTTCAGTAGCTATCCATTTATTTAGAATGTGATTTCTATTTTTATATTTACCTGATTTTGGTTATTTGACATTTATTTTATAAACTTACCTGACTTTGTCTTTACTGCTTATACTATACACTATTTGTATATGCTGACTTGCAAAGGAAGTCTTTCAAGTAGAATTTCTGATGCAGAATTCTTCTTCGATAATGTTTATTTGAGCATGTCAGATACATTGCTCATTTTTCTATTTTTAAATTATTATGGACCCAAGCTTTTGTGCTAATGTAAATTCGTACCATTGGATCTTTTTTAAATGGGGAATAGTCTATCGGGCATGAAAATGCCACAAGAACCATAAGTCTACATTCTGCAACTAATAAAATAAAGATAAAAAGGGGAGTCAGGCAAGGTGATACCATGCCACCAAAGCTGTTCATTACCGTTCTTGAATATGCATTTAAAAAACTAACATGGCAAGAGAAAGGAATGTCCATCGATGGAGAAAGATTAAACCATCTACGTTTTGCGGACGATATCGTGCTTCTGTCAGATAATCTGGGAGAGATCAAAGACATGCTCCAAGAACTGAATGACATACTACAAGAAACTGGGCTGGAGATAAATTTCGAGAAAACCAAAATGATGACCAATATGGTTCCCAGCGAAGAGATACAGATTAATAACAACAAAGTCGAATTAATCGATAAATACACATACTTGGGTCATGAAATTAGAATAACCAGAGACAACCAAACCTGCGAGTTAAATAGACGAATCACGTTGGGATGGGCGGCATATGGGAGGATGAGAGACATTTTTAAAACAAATATCCCAATTCACCTGAAAAGGAAGGCATTTAACCAATGCATCTTATCAGTCTTGACCTATGGAGCAGAGGCCCTAACTTTAAAGAAAGCTCCTGCTGAAAAACTGAGGGTAACACAAAGGCGAATGGAGCGATCAATGCTGATCTGATACTGCGTGCGTAATATGACTTCAATGGATCCTTTGGTAGGGTCCATATGAAGTACCAAAGAATACAAATACTTTTTAGTTTACATCAATTATTGCTCCCCAAACTTTAGTTTGACGGTTACTAAAACCGTTTGGAAATCTTGATTTCCCTGAGCGTTTTCGTCTAAAATTTTTTATATATATCCAATTTTAGTTTGTCGGACCATAATTCATTGGGTAATATTCAATTATTGCACTGAGAAATCCCCTCTAAAAATCTTGTCATACCATTTCATTGGTGACAATATGACAGCACCTTAATTTTAGTTTAATAAATACTACAATTCATTAATTTTTTTTTCAGAGATATTCTCTGAAATCATTAATAGTCATTTATAATCATTTATAGTTTTTAATGATAAATTACTTTGTTATAACGTTTAACAAATTTTACTTTGACGGATATTATAATTTATTGGGGTGTTGTAAATCCCAGATTTATAATTTTTTTTTAATTATAAAAGGTAAATGTAATAGGTAAAAAGAAATAAGAATAAGGCTTACTCACAATCAATTTATTCTAGCACCAAAGACCGGTTTCGCATACTATAATTTGTTATGCATCTTCTGGTCAACGGTACATAGTAAACTAAATGCTGAAAATACAATAACCTGTATTAGGGTACTTTCTGGTACAGAATATACAGGAGTTATGCCAATATTATGTGTGCAATTATTAAATATGACTTTCAAATTGATTAAATAAACAAAATAAAACTTAAGTGAAAAAACAATCTAGTAAAATTGAAACTCAACAAAAGCAGAAAAGAGTTCAAACCGAGAACAACGATGTGTAAAGATAAGGAGGGTAATATATTAACAGAACAGCAAGAGATACTTAGAAGATGGACAGAACATTTTAAGGAAAAGCTTGGGGTGAATAGGACGGAGATGAACCCTGATATACCGTTAGACCAAGCAGACAACAGAGAAAAGTGTCCACCAACAATAGCAGAGATTAGAACAGCAGTGGACAAATTAAAGAACAATAAATCACCGGGATCGGATCAAATATCATCGGAGCTACTGAAAGAAGGAGGAGACGCATTACTTAAAGCCATACATGAGCTGATCAGAAAGATATGGTTGAATAAACAGCTACCAAAGGAGTGGAATAGCGGCATTATTGTACCACTACATAAAAAGGAAACCAGTTAGAATGTGAAACTACCGTGGAATCATGCTGTTGAATGCGGCATACAAAATAATGTCCAACGTAATGTATGAAAGACTTAGACCATACGCTGAAAAAATAGTTGGCAAATACCAATGTGGCTTCTGTAGACAGAAGTCCAGATATTTGTTCTGCGACAGATCCTTGAAAAAACAAGTGAATATAACATCGACACACATCATCTCTTCATAGACTTCGAAAGCGCATATGACAATATAAACCGAGAATTCCTAACAAAAGCAATGAAAGAATTTAATACACCAACACAGCTAATAGAATTGATAAAAGAAACACTAAAAGTAGAAAGTAAAATTCGGATACAAAACGAATTAACGGAAACAATAGATGTGAAGAAGGGACTACGCCAGGGAGACGCTCTATCATGCATATTATTCAACATCATACTTGAAAAAATAATAAGAGACACAACAGTTAATACCCAAGGAACAATAATTAATAAAAGTGTGCAAGTACTAGCATTTGCAGATGATGTTGACATAATCGCAAGATCAAGAAGAGCAATAGTGGTCTTAAAATCAATCAGACAAAAACAAAATATATGCCTGCAAATAAAAACGCACAAATAAGGCAGCTGCCAAATTTAACAATAGGAAAATACAACATTGAGGCGGTAAAAAACTTTACATACTTAGGATCCCTAGTTACGTCTGATAACAACGTTGCAGAGGAAGTGAAGAGGAGAATATTTATTGCCAATAAATGTTACCATGGCTTAATTAGGCAACTAAGATCAGATAACTTCTCCAGAAAAACAAAATGCCAAATATACAAAACCTTAATAAGACCGGTACTCACATACGGTTCAGAAACCTGGACACTCTCTAAAAGGGAGGAAACGTTATTAGCCACCTTTGAAAGAAAAATCTTGCGACACATATATAAGGGCACAAAAGAAAACGGGATTTGGCGGAGAAGGTATAACTTTGAACTATACAACATATACCAGGATCCGGATATCATAACATTCATTAAAATTGGAAGGCTACGTTGGATTGGACATGTGGAAAGAATGGAAGAAGGCGAAATACCAAACAAAATATTCAAACAAGTGCCAGTAGGAAAAATAACAAGAGGAAGATCGAAGCTAAGATACGTAGAACAAATAGAAAATGATATAACAACATTAAAAATTAAAAACTGGAAAAAAAAAGCACGAAACAGGTCAGAATGGAGAAGAATCCTTGAACAGGCCAAGACCCAAAAAGGGTTGTCGAGACAGTGATGATGATGATGAAAATTGAAATTAAATAAATAATTAAGTAATAAAGATTACTTACATACCTTAACAAGGATTATTATTTAACGTTTGAGTAAACATAGTCAAAAAATGTTATGGTAAACAGTTTACCATAACCTGTAGTATCTGACCTCACTAAGCATTTTGCATTCACCAAGTACATCTGTGACAGTTTCTATTTCTCTTTTTATACCATTTCATTCATTGCACGTATATTGTACAGGTATATCTTTAGTTGGGAATGTCCTATCACCAACTGTAAGCGTCTTCTTAAGATTAGTTAAACCAGGTGAAAGCCTTCTGCCACTGCTTATTCACATGGGTTTATACCTGTAAGATTATGAGGCGTTCGGTTCTGGATCTTCAAAAACTGCTCTATAGCCTTGCTTTATCAGCTAGTTCCTTGTTCCTTGCCCACCTTCATGCTTCCGCTCCCTCTAAACCTTCAGTCTGAAACTAAAGGTTTATGTAGAAGATCCTTACAGATTTTTTAGCAGTTTGAATTTGACAAGTCCAGTTTACACCGCTAATATCCCCTGGCTGTCGGTAAAGATATTTACTTGTTTCGCTGTTTGTCCCCACTAACGATTTTATAAGTAAAATCTCTTAGAGCACATATTTCAGCTAAGAACATTGTTTATCACTATCGTTATGAAAGGTTTAGTAAATAAAACAACCAGATCAATTTGTTTTCTCTGTTATTAACATTAGAGAATATTACAGTTTCATATGTACATGTATACAATTTCTATATAGCTTCGCGCCGTTTGGCACTCATTATTGTGAGAGTACTGCCCTCCTCTTTACAGGATGGCCTTCGAAACCTCGCGAATTTCTGGATAACCTGCGGCGCTTGAATTGGAAGACGAACTGAGTTTTACGTTCGAAAGCCATCCTGTAACCATATTTTTAATTTACAATGACGAAAGGTCTTGGCATTTAATGCTTTAATTTTTTTTTTTCATCACTGTAAACCGTAGTCTACGTCTACTTACAAAAATAAGCGCAATCTATGGGTAGTTTCTTCTATTATATATTAAATTTGTAAAGATACGCAAAGATTGCCCAGTTTCCAGTACGAAAAAATTTTTTTTATCCTAAATTTGTCACGTTTCGGCAATATTTTGCGTATTTTTGCAAACTTTTGCGTGTTGGACTTTAAAGATATTTAAAATACAGTAAAATATGGTGTTACAATCAATTACTTATAGTATGCAGTGGGAATGTTGTTATATTTAATGAACGAAAAATGTTTAATTTTAAAATTTAATTAAGCACTACAGACTGTTATTAATATTAACGTATATTAAATGTAGATTTTGATCTGTACATCAACAATGAAGGACAATATAAAAAAAACTGAAAAACTGTCTTGATTTAAAATATTATTTTTTATTTATTTCAGTATCTCTTTTATGGGTAATTATTAGAAATTTAACATCTGATAATATAAAAATACTCTAACCTATCTTAGAGACAAAATAACTTTGTTATAAAAGTTCTATTTTCATCAAAAAATTCAAATACCTGATCGATCAAAAAAAACATCATTCCCACTATATATCTCTGTATACAAACGCTCGCCTTATTCAAAGTGACAGTAAATACACCAAAGATTATTTTACAAAAATCAAGATCGTTGGACGATAATTTCATATAACTGTAAGTTTATTTAAAAATTCTCAGATTGCGTTTATGAAAGATCACATTGACAAGGGAAGTTTATCAACGGTTTCTTATCACACCACAAGACACGCATGTAATTCCATACAAGGAGAAACAACTAAAGTTACCAAAGATACTAACGCTAACCCAGTACAGTACATCTGTTGATACAATATAAAATATCTTGTTATTTTGTTCAATAGAAAAGTGCAAATTTCTTTTTTGGCTCAAACTGTTAAATAAAATGTGTTCATTTAACTGAATTAAACTTTAATTAAAAATTACTTTATGTTTACATTAACATTAAGTTTTAGATGACATTTTTGTAAATAACATCATTGTCATCTTAACACTACAGTGATCAAATGATTTCTAAAAAATCTGTATCTTCCTTCATAGTAGTCTGATCTAACGTTCTGTACAATGTTTGTAAAATTATGTTAATGAGACGACACGCCAGCGTGTCTCCTTGCCTTAGTTATTACATGTGTTTCAATTAGTTTAACCTTGCATTCCTAAGTTATTGATGATGAAATCTTAGCATTGTCACTCCTACCAACTTTTGGTCCATTTCTAGGAATTCAAGGCTTACCCGCAAGTTTCAAGATTCTTATTATTGGAAAGAGATTTATGGAATCAGAATGTAGCTCAGAGCAACAAACAAGAAATAAAAAATACAAGACTTAAAATCATCCTAAAATATTCAAGTGAGTTTACAACTTGTCCTGTGGACAAGATTTTTAGATCTTAAGTTTTAAGGGCGATGAAATATGTCCTTCTTACCAGAAGCTCTTGTGACAACTTCCTCAGTATCAGCCAGAATTAACTAAATGTTTAAGGATTCTTACATTACTATTTAATATATAGAAATTTATGACACTAAATGTAATATTGCACAGCTTTAATACCCCCCAAAAATACATCCAATTAGTAGCAATTACAAATTACAATCAACTCATCAACAATAACTATTAGAATCCCGACACTGTTCAACCTGTCTCTCAAATAAGTGATACAGATTGCCACCTATGCTGATGACATCAACTGTATGTGTTACAGAGCGGGAGAGGCAGCAGAAATATATTCACAATTAAAAACAGGAGCAAAAAACACCAGACTAGAACCGACCAAAGGCAAGGGCTTGGGAAAACAGACGCACAGTTGAATCAGAGGACCATATTGAAACAGTAGAAAGTTTCACATATTTGGAAGTTAC